GGTGAAAGAAACTTACAGTGCTGATTCGAGTTAAATGGGCACTCCACAATGGCTATCTGCCGTCAGCACACTGCCAAGATCTTAACGCAAACTTTCTGGCATCATATCAATGACTCTCCGGTAACCTATATCAGCATCAATAAGAGTATTAATTTTACAGCCAGTATTAAAATGGCCTCATCCTATCAAACTAAGAATTTCATCCATACTCCTATTCTCCGGCCTTCTTTTCCTTTGTCCATTTTAGTACAAAGATTAATGATGACGAACGATTGGGTATGTGTAGGGTTACCCGTCTTTATCTTTTCCTTTAAATGTAGTGAAACCAGTTTAAAACAATAACCACTAATCCTTTAGGAACTAGAGTATTGTATCAGCAAACAGCAAAAGTAGAAACTTCCTTTTTTATTTTTCCCATCATACAAGTAGTTTTACAAAACTCTAGCTTCCATTGAATTGCTAGTATTAAAATTATAATGATTAAATGAAGACCTCAACTAGTAATAGTTGCATAACTGGTGTATGACAACTACAGTATAACATTGAGACAGAAGACAAAGGTACATACCGCCATGGGAATTCACTTGTGTCAATTCCAGCTTGGTGAAGTTCATCAACATACTGTAAAGCTTCTCTACATTCCTCTCGGTCATCAAAAAATTCCTTCTTGTCACCTTCTATTTGGTATGTTTCATGGCCTTTGCCAGCAACCACCTGCAGCGTGGCCAACAGCAATTGGATTAAACAACACAAATAAAATGGGAGCTCTTAGTCAGCACTTCTGTTATGAAGTATGTTTTTGTCCATATAAGTTTTAGTTGTACCATTGGTCGGCTTTTGATAACAAATAATAAGGACAAAAGAAGAAGAAATGGAGACAAGGAACTTACAACTATATCACCTTCCTCACCCATGGCAACAGCACAGCGCACAGCCACACGTCTGATATCATGTAGGAACAGTCTATGGCCATTGGGGAGAGGAGGGTAATAATCATTCTCACCGTATTTCAAGTAGTCCTGCATAGTCCATCCTACACCAGCTAACATGTCATCCAAGATGTCCACTGAGAAAAGATAAGACCATATAGCTTCAGTGTTGGACTTCCAAACATGTGAAGAAAGTGAAATCGACACTAGTCTAACCGGAATTGAGTGCACAGACAGTGCCACAACAGATAAGAGAAGAGGGACAACTAGTGAACAAGAGAGATCAGAATCCAGTATACTGTAGCATATGTAATATCAGATAGACACTGAAACAGACTATTTTTCTAGGAACAGATCGGCAACTACCAGTGCATATTTCAATGATCTATGATCTTATAGTAAAAAAGAGAAAGACAAAGCTAAATAGTCTCTACCATGACTATTTCCAGAAACCTTCTCTAGTATATCTTCTTCAAGCTATGATACTTACAAGGATCTTCAGTCTTTGGATTGTCAGATGTCAGAATCGTCACATCACTTTTATCCGTAGCAATCTTTGCCATTATGGGCCTCTTCCCTCTGTCGCTCTCTCCAGCACAACCAAAAACTTCAAGCAACACAACAGGTCTTCCTCAGTAAAAAGTAATAGATAACAGAAAAAAGAAGATTTGCAAACATTTATGAGCAATTTTAATCACGATAAAAGGGCTAACATTCAATAGTGAACACAAATGTGGGCCATGCCTCTGGCAAAGCAAGATAGTGCCCTGGGGCAGCTGGGTACAGTGCATCTTCTGCAGGGCCAACACCTCTAACTTTATGGCCTAGCATGGGTGTATACTAGTAATCTTGAAATGTTTCCAAATCCTTTGACAAAATGACGAAGTTGGACTTGCTTAACTTCGGTTCTCAAAGGCACCACACAAACTGTGTATAACTACAAGCTATGTTGCTCGGACTCTCCGAAAATGTGGCCAGATACGTGTCGGATCCTCCAAAAGTAGTGCATTTTTGAAGGATCCGACACGGGTGAGGCTACATTTTGGAGAGTCCACGCAACATAGACTACAAGGTCATTGCCCTATTCATGACATTTTCTTTTCATCCAGGAATGCATACACACACAGACATATATAGATATGTGCGTGTCTAATATAAACCACGGTTCTAAGAACATGAGAACTTTTCAAGCCCACACTAGAAATGAGCAATCTAACCTGAAGCTTGAAAAATTTGCCGTACCTAAGTTATTAGGCAGAGAAGCACAGGCATAATGTTTAATACGATCAATTTAACAGCACCCTTGCTGGATTTGTGGGGGAGGAGGGGAGGAGAAGTTGCTGATTGCTTACCGGTTATAACCCTCCTAGGGCCAAGCTCTCTCACATAATCAAGTAGTCTAGATAAAGCATCAGGGGTATGAGCATAGTCTACAATTACTCCGAAAGCTTGTTCCTCATCTATCAATTCACATCGACCAGGGACTGCATCAACCTCTTCAATACCTTTAACAATGTCCTCCAAAGGTGCCCCAACCGCAATTCCAACAGCGACTGCTGCAAGAATGTTATAGATGTTATGCCTTCCAAGCAAGCCAGAAGATATTTCCAATATGCCTTGAGGTGTGTTGACCAACACTTGAGTCTCAAAAAGAGATAATTGAAACTTTAGGGGATGAACATCAGCACTCTTATTCTCCATTGCAAAAGTCACAATAGGCACATCTGGGTTTCCTTGAGCTAAAAAGAAAGCTGCATTAGGGTCATCAATATTCACAATCTTGCGGTGTCGTGCTGGGTCCACCATCCTAGCAAACAACTTAGCTTTAGCATCCCTATACTCCTCCTCAGTCCCATGAAAATCCAAATGATCCCGTGTCAAGTTTGTAAAAACTGCAATGTCGAAATCAACCTCATCGCACCGACCTAATGCCAATCCATGAGAAGAAGTCTCCATTACCAGAGCCTCCGTCCCATTATGAACCATCTTCGCCATCAGTTTCTGAACCAAAACTGCATCGGGGGTCGTATGAGGAGACTCCAACTTGTTATCCCCATAAATATAATATCCTACTGTACTCAACATGCCCGTCCTCAACCCCATTGCTTCATACATTGCCTTTATTAAGTAAGACGTCGTAGTCTTCCCATTAGTTCCCGTAATCCCAATCAATGACATACTCTTAGACGGATGCCTATAAAATGAAGCGGCTAACACTGCAAGCACCGCATTCGTGTCCTCCACAATAACCAATGCTTTACACCCCAAGGTTTCCTCAATATCAATCTCTTTACTGGCTACAACAGCAACAGCCCCTCTCTTATCAGCCTCGGATAAATACAAATGTCCATCGGTTTTCCTCCCAACACAACACACAAACAAATCACCACTCTCAACCAACCGCGAGTCGTGTTGTACACCACTAATCCCAACCTCTAAATCTCCATACACAGACACTGGCACTACCCGACTCTCATCTAAAAGCTCAGCTAAACTCATCCTAAACTTAGGTTCCACAATTCTTGGCTTAGTTTTACCGAACTCGTCAAAATCAATATCAAATGAAGATAAATCAGAAAACTCACCCTTACCCATATCATCACTTACCTCAAAATCTGATTTTTCTTCATCACTTTCATCAATTTCAGCCAAACCACTAAGCCCATCAATTTCCTCTAAATCAACAACTTCTTCAGGCTCTAATTCATCAACATTTTCCACTTCAGATTCAACTAAAGTTGAGTTCTTGGGAGGATTAGGCTTTAAAAGGCCTTGTTTAACGAACTCTTTTCTTTTCAAGGCAATAGCTTTATCAATTTCACCAAATAAATCATCCCCAGAATTGTCATTATCACTAACTAAAGGATTATCTGGTGCATCTTCCACGTCAGCTAAAGCATTTACAAAAATGGACTGTTCTTTTATAAAAAGCTCTTCTTGTTGCCTTTTTGCTTTAGCTGCTTGGCGTTGAATTTGCTGGAATTTGTTAACACCATGCATTGAATCTTCTGGTGCTTCAGGTGGGTCATCATCTGATGGGTCGGGGTAGTATTTTCCGTCGGCACCGATAGCGGAGACGGTGGTGAGAGTGGTGGGGTACTTGAGGCGGAGATGGTGGAGGGAAGTGAAGGGTTTGAATTGGAGGGGTGGTGGGTTATGGTGGACAAGTGAAGGGAAAGGTGGAAGAGAGAAAAGGGTGAACGGCATATTAGCCGGAGTTTGGTCGGAGGGGTTTTATCGGTCGCCGGAGTTTAAGTGAGGTTTTTGGAATGTGTCAGTGTAAAAGGATAGGGGTTTAAAGAGAAGATTTTGGGAAGGTGCAAAACGATGACGTTAGGAGTTAACTGTATCAACTGCTTGTAACTTCTAAAGATTGGGCCTATTGAGCCATTTTGGGCTTTGTAAGTAAGAACATTTAGGCCCGGAGCTAGATGACTTTTGGGCTAAAGCTTGTCTCTTTTAGGGATTTTTACCTTCCTATACTACATGTAAAACCTTTTTGAGTCCGAAACCTAATTGTGGTCTTTTTGGACTCAAGCGACCAAAATTAGTTTAAAAAAAAGATTGGGCACTATTTTATATATAGCGCGGTGAACAACCGCGCTATATTTGAACTTAAAATGGGCGGGAGGGTATAGCGCGTATATATAAGGCGCTATAGTATAGCGCAGTATATATACGCGCTATGTCTATATAAAAAAGCGTGCCTTCTCCTTCCTTCCCCACAGACGCAACTAGCAGACACCCCCCCCCCCCATTTCCCATTTTTTATTCCAGCATGCCCTCGCCCCCCCTTTTAACGAAAAAAAGCTTCGTTTGAGCCCATCGGTTCCACATAAAATGTCGATTATCGGTATTGTAGCAAGCTAACATCGTATCTAAGGCGTTATCGCGTAGTGGGTTGCTCGTTTCGGCTCCAAATCATCAAATCTTCAACTTTCAAAAAAATTAAAATCGAGGTATTCCGACTTATTTTTTGTTAAAACTCATGTATAAAAAATGCATTTTAGTTTTTTTTACTGTGTTCTATGTTATTTCGTGATTGTTTTACGATTTAATTAATTTATTATTTTTTATCCGGATTATATTATTAGTAAAAAAATTAGTAAAATAGAGAAATTGTTATTTTTTGAATAGTTAATGTTTTTAGTTGTTATAAAAAATGGTAGTTAGTTATTTTTTTACTATGGTATATGTATTTTCCTGATTATTTTGTGATTAAATCAATTTGTTATTTATTATTCGGATTAGATTATTTATGTGCTAAAAGATTAGTAAAATATATAAATTATTATTTTAGGAATAATTAATCTTATTTAGATGTTATTGTTGTACACATATTAATATGTGACTTTAATGTTTTTTGTTCCCTGTAGTGTTATGTTGTGCCCGTAATTTTAACGTAGTGCCCGTAATTGTAATGTAGTACCCTTTAGCGTAGTAAAATGTAGTGCCCTTTAGCGTAGTATCTTTTTAGTTATTGAAATTAATTATTTAATTATCTGTTAACCTCAAAAATATTTGAAAAAAAGATAATAGTTCAAACACAAACTCTCTCGAATTCTAGTCAACAAACGTAAGAAAGTAACATTAAGAAATAATAATATTTGTCAAATTAAGTATTTTTATATGAATATTTAATAATTAAATCGTGTATAGTTATGAAAATTAATCATTTAATTCTATTATACTAAAAAATAGGTGAGTAAAAAACAAACATATAAAATATTAAACTAACATATAAAATAAGAAACTAACATATAAAATAATAAATAAACATATAAAATAGTAAAGTAACATATAAAATAATAAACTAACATATAAAATGATAAACCAACATATAAAATTATAATATAAAAAATGTATCAACCTAAGTAACAATATAGTAAAAATATCGAATATATTTTAATATTAAAGATATTGCAATATATTTAAAATGTTAAGCGATTAAAAAGATTTATACTTTAATTAGTATTGTTCAATTTACAGTCATCGTCATGGAGGTTCCGCTTATGCATTCGGGACCTGCATCGCTAGAGCTACTGTAGCTACAGGCCAACCATAGGTCTTCATACATATGGGATGGGCAGTGTTTGTCCCAGATATTCCGCACCAGACGTATAGACGATATGTGGGAGTTCATTAGGGACCACCCACTCCATCCCCGTATAGTTAGACGCCTTCAGGATACGGGTTTCTACAGGATCATAGAGATCGGCCGGTTGCAGTTCAATTGGGCGTTGATCACGGTTATGATAGAGCGGTGGCGCACACGTTTCATCTACCCATTGGCGAGGCTACCATCACGCTTGAGGACGTGGAGGTTCTTTTCGTGCTGCCGGTTGATGGTTTACTATACGGGATTGCATTACCTGCAGATGTTGTAGCGGCTCACCGGTTTCCATCCAGCGGAGGAGACTGCATTAAGTGGGGCCAGTCGTTTGCAGTTGACGCCCGTCCGACAGCATTTGGAGGTGATGGATGCGGAGATTACGGATGATTCGCCGCCGGAGGTTATCAATCGATACACGAGATTGTTGATGCTGCTGATGTTTGGTGGTGTATTTCTCCCGAACACTTCGGGAAACCTAGTCAACTTGAGATTTCTACATCATCTTGAGCAGCTAGATGATTTACCTGGTTACAGCTGGGGTGCAGCTGTTCTAGGTTACCTGTATAGGCAGATGTGTCGGGCGTGCATGGGCACCCTGAGAGACGTTGCCCGGTTTTTGCAGCTGCTGCATGTGAAAACATAGTCAATTCTTTTCATGATTATAACTGTCACACCTCCTTTTTTACCACCCGGGGGGGGGGGGGGGTATAAGGGAGTTTTTCCAATTAAAGACATAAATCGAAATGGGATTATTTTATTTTAATTTTTTCAGAGCCGTCACTTGGGATAATCATTTTGGTGTCCCAAGTCACCGATTTATTTTTAAAATCTCCAATCGAGGAAAATAGACTTTATTTAAAAGTCTGCGAAATCAGAAATTCTAGATAAGGAATTTTGTTAACCCGGGAGAAGGTGTTAGGCATTCCCGGATTCCATGGTTCTAGCACGGTCGCTTTAACTATTAATAATTGGCCTAATTATCTGATTAATTACAAGTTTTAAACCTATTGTGCATTTTTAACTTTATAACCGCTTTTATTTATTTATGGAGTTATTTTTGGAATAAGTTACGATTGTCGTACACTTGTTTGTTTTGGAACATGCCGCGAACCACGCTACATGAAATGCACCCGCGATTCACGACATGTTTATTTTATTAGTATTCGAAGTTGTTATGATTGGGTTACATGAAATGCACCCCCAAATTTGGGAATTAGGTTTCATGACTATGCTACGGGAACCGTACCCATAATCACGATGGTTTATTATAAAACGTGCCTAAAGCAAAATACGAATGTTCAAAGTATTAGTTTTTGCATTAATGTGAGGGCCATAGATTATGAAATTTATTTGTGTATGGCGCGCCTCAACTTATTAAAGAAATCGTACTAAAAAAGCGAACTGGGGGTGCTCATATTTAAACTGGTTCTAAGTTTTGATATCCAACTATTGGTTATAAGTATATTGAGTGAGGAGGTTTAGGTCCTGAACTATACAGAAACTTGGGCCAACAATAGGCCCGCTGCACTACTCAAGGTAGGTCGTTTTGGTGAAGTACACACTAATGAAGGCTAGGCTCGAAATTGAGCCCAAATGAGGGAACGGAAATAACTGGAGCCAAACGAACCTGGCCACGATCCAGGCGGCCCCATTTGGGCCAGCTCCAAACCTCAAACGTTTTGACAAGGATACTTCAAACACTAAGGCCTTAATGAGGCCCAACTAACCATAATTCACATACAGCAACATAATATGCAAGTTCTGAGAATCACAACACCTAAACAACCATATTATAAACTTTTAATTCATTGTCTTACTACTAATACTAACAGCATGAACCTGGATTTATAAAACTACTCATTAATCATATTTTTGCATATGCAATTGCTCTAACAATGTTGAGGTTCTGCATGTATACATCAAGCTAATACTATCTTTTCAAGCATGCATGATACATGAGTATACATATTTTAACACAAATAAAACTACCAAAGTCTTCTACCAACTTGAAATTCTGAATGTTTCATGAAAAAAAAAAAGATAAACTAAATTAGATATTCACATATAACATTTCCCTCACTAGACGAATGACCATCAAACAGATCCTAACACAAATTACATAAAAGCTGCAGAAAACTAAAACCAAGAAAAAGCTAGGTGAACTTGGAATAACACATGTAAATAAAAATTAAAATGCAACATTTTAGCATTAAAACTTCACATTTCAGTTACATATTTCAAAGGAAAAACATACTTGCACTTCAAAGGTCACTCATAGTCCAAGAGGTACCTGGGTATCAAAACAAAGCAAAAATGGAGTAAGGATTTCAGCAAGACAAGCGAGTGAGAAGGCAGCAAATATCAGCAGTAAACAGCTTCGATTTAGTCCATGTTAAACCCAGAACTTCAGAAATCTCAGGGAGAATTTCAGAGTATTTTTCTTTTACTCCAAAAATCAGAAGAAATCAATTCAACTTTTCACACAGTGCAAAGCTCTTTTTTTTGGGGTGTTTTTAGGGTCTGAAATCTATCTAAAAGTGCATGAAAGGCTCTATATATAAGCCCTGAAAAATGCCATGTGTTGTAGAACAGAATTAGGGAATTATTCCCTCACGTAGCCCCTAAAGGCATCTTTCTAACAGAATTGGGACAACTGTCAGCCTCTAATTGGTTTCAGCATTTGTGCTGGCCAAATAGGGCCAGCTGCCCCAAATTCTAGAAGTTTCTGTACAAACTTTGTTTGCACACCCCTCCCACGACCGCCTTAAATTTTTATTTATTCAATTAACCCCCTTATAAGTCCTGTTATCCCTAATAAGGACCAACAACACAAGACCAGAATTAAAACAAAATAAAGATCAAAAGAACAAATCCTTATGCAATTAATCCTTTAAACTAACCCCAAATTCATTTAATATGAACCGAGTCAGAAATAAAACAAAAACAGAAAAGTTCAAACCTAAGACTGACTCAAATCCAAAACTAACAATTATGATCCATTTCTAAGAATTTAAACAACTAAACAGACCAACATATAGACCAATCAAAAAGGAAACTAGAACTAACCATAATAAACTAGACTGTATTAAAAGCTAAACTAATTAGACACGAGCTAAACCAAATTAACAGACCCTAAACGAATAATTGACAGACATGATGATTCTGATGCAAAACACATAGGTTAGTGAACCAC